AGTGTCAAGGAACACACTACTCCAGAGGAAAGGTTAGAGTTCAGTAGCTGAAGTCATCTCATCCAAGGTGGAGGTGGACTCAGGTAAAGCTGACTGAGCTTCAGCTGAAACAGTTCCTTCAAGATCTCATCAAGTTGGTCTCAGCTCTCACAACCAAAGAGGTTGGAATGGACATCTGTAGCAGCCTCCTCATGGTCCCGTCTGCGTCAGCAGGTTGTTTTCCCAAGCTTCAGTTTCCTAAGGTTGGGCATCAGAGTCAAAAAAGTCACTCAATCTTAACTACAAAGACAATAAACATTTAATGAAGTGGACTGAGGTGGATACCTGATGTTTCTGAAGAGATCAACAACTGGTGGTGCAGAGGAGCTATTGTCAATGACGGTCTGGTAGAGCAGGGTCTTTGTCTTCTTCACAGCTGAACACGACAACTTCTGGGTCCCAGCGTCCCATCTCAGCGTCTCTGGCAGGACAGGAAACAGCTTGGTAAACTGCAACTTTTCAACCAGGAAGTACAATGTACTTTTCTCTAAACATCATTGCGTATAGCCCGTCTACCCGCACACTTTCCCTCACAGTGGCTTCTTTCTTCCTGACTGGTGCTTTCAGACACTCGACTAGGGAGCTGGGGAACAGTGTAGTCAATTTAGAAAGAGGAGGAGGAGGGGAAGATCTAGTCACCACAAGCATGGTCCTGAAACTAGGTGTGTTCACTGAGAACAAGAAATGTAGGTTTGTTAGTCTAAAAATGTAAACCTCATTACAGATGAGTGGAAGTGAGAGGTCTGCTGCTTGTCGTCCCTCCACTATTCCCAGACTAAGGGCACAACACATTAACCAAGTTTTTTTTACGCCTTTATCCAGTCTGGTCTGATCTACTCTGTGCATCCTCATCTTGAACTGCGATAGTCACAGCTGGCTCTGTCTCACCAAATCTACCCCTTAAACATGTCAATTGTACAGCGCATCTCTTAGTAGGATCATAACAGCATACCATGTCAGCTGATTCACAAAACCAGAGGGATCCTTGTCTGGTTTTGGAAACTGCACAACCATGGCACACAGCTTCAAAGATGGACTCAACAACTGTCCGAACTATCAGTAACCTGAAAGCTCAGACTCCTTCACACACTGAGAAGAAGGGGAAGGAGAAAAGCCTCTTATGATGCGAGTCGACTCAGTTGGCCTTGTTCTCTGTAGTGTGGAGAAGCCCTGGCTTCCTTAACCCTAGAACTGACTGTCACTCTGCACTGAATTAGTAATATAAACACACAACCTGTAATGTTTTCAAAAAGCAGTGCAACTATCATTCATTTGACACTACAACCATCTACGATGTTGGTTCTCTACTCTCTCCTCTAAAGTATGCGTCATCTCAGAAAACGCTCTGTGTACATTGTGTAGGAATATGTGGAGCTCGAAAAGAGGACAGGCTAATTCATGCTGCCAAGCTAAGACCTCACAAGACATGACATACTGCAAAGGGCCAATTTTCACTTTAATAACTGCAGTATTGTCCCTGCAGAACTCAGTTCCTTCCATACAAAGCCTGTTAGCCTTGACACAATTCAGCCCACAGTATAATCTTGCTATAAGAAAGTTAAGAGTAAAACGCAGTAATAACAGTGTCAACCTGTGTACTTGACAACCAGGCTTCATAGTATCACTGCTCCTGTTCTCATCACAGACAATAAGGCAACTACCCAAACCGGGTGTACACAAGCCTTTAGATTCATCTAAGTCATCTGTCTCTGCCAGGCTCCCTCCCAAGAACCCAAATGCACCCCCCGGCTGGTACCGCGTAAACCAGGTCCGACGATAGTGTAAATATGAAACTTCCTCAAGTAACCCCGCATCAATGACTGAATGCTTTGCAGGAGTGGGATAAATTCTCCTGCTGGGAGGCCTCCCAACATCTAGAAAATCTAATACGAAAAGCTAAACTCTAACCTCACCGGGCCTAGTTGAAGCGCGAGACTCTTGAAACTTGGCAGAGCGAGATGACCCAGAGGCCTAATGCTAAAGTACAATAAATTCTTTTTAAATCAAAATCTGGGTAGTGATAATCTCTATAACAGCACTTAAAGATACAAAGTGCTGTTTGTTTGGAAAACAGCCCAGTTTATCTAATCTAACATTTAACTTGACAAAATATTGTGTGCCAAAAAAGACTTGAAATGTATCCTAACAGATTATCTATGGGCTGAATGGGCACTAGAGAAAGCTAGTGTCCCAAACAGTGGTACAGAAAATTAAGGTGTCGGAGTATAAAGTGAGCACAGTGTAACAGGCTGATCTCAGGAAGAGTTTACCCCAGTAACCAAAGCAGTGCAGGATTATTAACATGCCTGACTGACACACTAACTGTGTGTGACCCTGGTAAATGAGGGGCATGAGGAAGTCAGAACGACTAAACTCAGTCTCATCTCCTACAGGGGGCGAACACAGAATAGATGGCTTTGCTGGACAGACAGTGAGAGACAGAGAGCCAAGTCCCTTCAATACTTCCTTTAGGAGTGTATCTGGACGTGCTACAGCAGCAAACCGGTCCCACATCATGCAGGTCATCAGATGGTTAGTGACTGAAACTCCTCCACCTGATAGGAGAAGCAAAGACAGATGTACTGCAAGTTGTCATGGTGACCATGTTGGACAGAGACAAAAAGCTGCATCTTGTCAGTCCTCACCTTATGAGCGCCTTGCCATACAGCCATGCCACGACCAGCACTGCTTGTTGTGGTCTCATGTCACTCACCTGTAGGAGGCGCTGAAGGACAGGACTGTCTAAAAGTTTAGTGCCTTACCTTTTTATCAGACACCAATGGCTGCACTTACTTTTATGGACAGACGAGAACATGCAAACAAAAGACGAAGAGACAAGTGTGCATGAACAGAAACAGACAGATGTGCAGACAGAAAGAAAAGGTTTGCTGGACAAACACACAGATGGTGTGGGGGGGTGGGGGGCCTCTCTCACTGGTGAGGTTCTTCAGAGGACTTCAGCTTTCAGTCCAGATTTGCAAATCAACTCCAGAGGAAAGATTCATTCAGCTGCTGCCGCCATCTCATCCAAGGTGATGCTGGAGTAAAAGGCAGTTGACTGTGCTTCCCACAGCTGAAGGGGTCTCATCAGGTCAGGTCGAGTTAGTCTCAGTTCTCAGCACCAACCATGGTGCACAGGTCTATAGTCAGGGTCAAACAAACCGGGCGCCTCCCAAACGGCACCAAACCACACTCAACCGGGCGCCTCCCAAACGGCACCAAACCACACTCAACCGG